ATAATAATAATAATAATAATAATAATAATAATAATAATAATAATAATAATAATTCAAGATTAATAATTAGTAATTAGTAATATCAATAACAAAAACACATCAATAATAAAAAGAGAAACAAAAACAGTAATAGTAATAATATAATATCAAATAATTAGACATTTTGGTCGCTGTGGGACCGAACACTTAGCTGATAAAAGACAGCTCATCGCCTGCACAGCCACCCCTGCAGAAGAGGTCTTGAAAAGATGTCGAAGTCATTCCTCAATGGGCTGAAATGAGTTATAATTTGTAGGATTATAAATTACCCCTAGGGGGTGTTATGTCAGCATATTGCATTCACTGATTGCTGACAAATTACGTACTTTGTTTGGACTCAAAAGTCCGCACCTTACTGCCGACTATAGGTTGATTACAAACTCCTTGCGACTCAAGAACTGTGCAGTCCCCCGTACTACAAGAAATTCGTAACCTACCTTGCTCTTGTAGCGTGAGCTATGGTGTTCTTCACACCTTTGACAGATATCGGTGACTTGATAGAAGCTGAAGTGTCCTTGGATGTCCACGTCTTCCATAGTCTAGGAATGCGCACACTGGTACACTATGTTCCACAAGATTTGTCTTTATTGTTCACTAAAGAAGTTGATCACACTTCTCTTAAGTGTTTATTGTGTTTTTTGAGACACTTTGTTCAAACTAACACACAGATCAGTGTTCTTTGTTGGTTATCCTGGCGTCAGTGTCACTCTCAGTAGAGTCAAAAGTAATATGAAGACGCCACAGCACCCCACGCCATTACTCCCCTAGCACAAAGGAAAAGCTGACCTAGTACTTTTACTTCCTTGCCACTTCCTCCATGAAGCAAAACAGAATGTTTGATTCTTGCTGTCTTTAAGCATAGACAACAATGTACACTATCTCTACCATGGTAATAAAGTGGGAGCAGGATTTTCCTTAATTGTCCTGCTAAGGTAAGAGATGAACTGTCCCTTATTAAACTACACTTTGCAACACTGGACCGCATGGAGCGGCGGTCGCTTGACCACACGTCGCATACTGGGATCAATTACTCGCTGTAGCAGTAAACAAGATATTTGCCCCTTTTGAGAGGGCTGGGCCCCTCAGGGCTGAAAGGGCTGAAGGGGGCTAAAGGGGGATGAAGGGGGCTGATACCCCCCTCCTGGAGAAAATTTCTCCACATTTGGTCTTTGTATCTTGACTGGAATAGAAGTGTGTGAAATCATTTTTATTGGTAAGTTTCCGATAAACTTGAAATCTTAGGTTGTTGTCTACTTTGTGTATGAGGACGTCGAGGAAAGGTTGCTTGTCATTGGACTTTTCTTCTAGTGTAAACTGGATCGCCGGTTCAACTGCGTTGAGCCTTGCCTGAAGATTCTGTACATCAAAACGTTTGGGAGTTATTACGAGGACGTCGTCCACGTAACGTAACCAAGTGACGCTGGAAGGGATGATGTTGGCGAAGTGTTCGGACTCTAGGTGTTCCATGTATAAGTTGGCTAGGACGGCACTGATGGAGGACCCCATTCCCATGCTGTAGGTTTGTTTGTAGAGCTTGTTATTGAAAGAAAAACAGTTGAAATTAACAATCAAGTCAACAAAATCTCCGGGAGGTAGAGGAAGGTTAAGGCCTTGATTGACTTTACGTCGTAGAACCTCGATGGCTTTTGTGGTAGGTACTTTTGTGAAATGGGAAGTCACATCCAAACTGCTTAGTTTCTTGTTACGGATGGAGAGGTTTCGGATGTGGTTGAGAAGGTCGCCTGAATGTTTAAGATGAGCGGGGCTGATGGTCTCCAGAAGGCAGGAAAGATGTTTGGCAAGAACTCCGGCTAGTTTGTGTGGTGCACTGCCTATACCTGACGTGATTGGTCTGAGAGGAATATTGTGTTTATGGGTCTTGGGTAAACCATACATGTGTGCTGGTTTAGGGTTGCTGGGTAACAAGTACAGAAGTTTCTTCCCTTCTCTAGTGCGTTTGAGTATTTGTCTGGTTTTGTACAGAAAATCTTTGGCGAGTGTCTCCCACTGTTGAGTGCTGATGGGTTCGTATGTAGACTGATTATTCAAAAGGTCCATCATTTTAGTGTTGTAGTCACTTGTGTTGAGTATGATGACTCCACCTCCTTTGTCGGCGGTGGTGACGATAATATTGGTATCGTTGGCGAGGTCCTTAAGGGCAGTGATATATCGTCTAGGAAGATTAGAAGAAGGTTCACATAAAGCTGCAGTGAGAATGCCCTGTATATAACCCTTCTGGAAGTCACTGTCACTGTGTCTATGATTCCTGGTAACTTGGTTGAGTTGATAGTTAGGTTTGCGTATGTTGGTTGTAAATTTGAGTCCCAGACTCAGTGCTTGTTTCTCGTAGTCAGTTAAGGTGCGTGACTATAGGTTGTTTATCAGGGATTCCGTCCCATTTCCTTCCATCGACTGTTAGCGCAGAGGTACTGAAGTTTGCAATTGAGTTGGATCTTCTGTTGGAGGCTGGCTGTGGTGACTGTGTTGAGAATATGCTCAGCAGTGTGTTGGTCAATCTGAAGATTGGCCCTCATATTCCTTGCAGGGCCAATCTTCAGACTGACGTCCTAGCCAACTTATACATGGAACACCTAGAGTCCGAACACTTCGCCAACATCATCCCTTCCAGCGTCACTTGGTTACGTTACGTGGACGACGTCCTCGTAATAACTCCCAAACGTTTTGATGTATGGAATCTTCAGGCAAGGCTCAACGCAGTTGAACCTGCGATCCAGTTTACACTAGAAGAGTCCAATGACAAGCTACCTTTCCTAGACGTCCTCATTCACAAAGCAGACAACAACCTAAGATTTAAAGTTTATCGGAAACCTACCAATAAAAATGATCTCACACACTAAGACCAAAAGAGGCAGCATCATTGGGTTTTTCCTAAGAGCATACCGATTTTGTAGTCCTGAGTTTCTTGACGAGGAATGTACATACATTCACCAAACCTTCACTCAGTTACATTTTCCTTCCTTTTTCATCAAAGACTGCAAGATTATTATTATTATAATCAAGGGGGAAGCGCTAAACCCGGAGGATTATACAGCACCTGGGGGGGGGGATGTGGAAGGCATTCAGGCTTAATTCGGGGAACTGGAGCACAGATCCAATTCCCTAAATCAAGAGCCCCTCACCAACATCAAGGAACCTTCCTTGAGGGGAAAGACTGCAAGAAAAGAGCTCTTCAGATCATTAATTCTCCACACACCAACACCACTCCCAACAAAGTTATAATTCTTCCCAACAGCCAGGTTGCACTGAACGTTTCTAAAGTACTTTCACAAGCTAACACCAGAGTCGTCATCTCTTCCAGCACTTCAATAAAGGATCTAACCACGAACCAGCCAACGCAGGGGTTTACACTGTACCCTGTGGAGGCTGCGACAAGATTTATGTAGGTGAAACAGCAAGAAACCTCGACACCCGCCTCAATGAACACATTTACGCATGTAGGAACGATAACTTGAACAACGCCTGTATACAACACCGAAATTCCACCAATCATCTCATGAAATTCAGGGACGCCCAATTAGTGATCAAAGAAACTAATTTCCGCAGACGCAAGTGCCTAGAATCAGCACTAATCGCTGTTTCGAATACAATTAAACAAAACAAAGATAGCTTCACCATCTCTGAAGTCTTAGCAAGAATCCTCCTGAAAACAGTAAACCCTGCCATCACATAGTCTCTCCTGTTAATACTACACAAAGCACATTACAGAGAGTGAACACTGAAACAGGCTGCCTCTATCCAGTCTATATTTGTCTAACCTATTTTTATGTTACCCTATTATTATTATTATTATTATAATCAAGGGAGAAGCGCTAAATCAGGAGGATTATACAGCGCCTGGGCGGGGATGTGGAAGGCATTCAGGCTTAATTCGGGGAACTGGAGCACAGATCCAATTCCCTAAATCAAGAGCCCCTCACCAACATCAAGGAACCTTCCTTGAGGGGTAAGTTACCCTAGTATTAGCTTTTATATCCTTTTACTCATGTACGAGTTAATTGCTCTTCCATATTGTATTACTACTACTACTACAACTTATGTCACTACTACCACTAGTATTGCACTTCACTCTGAGCCTATATATACCCTCTGTGTCCATGTACTGTTTGTAACGGCTTGACAAAGCTCCTGGAGAGCGAAACGTTGCCACAATAAAATGTTACATTAGTATTTAGTATTCTCGTGCGTGAGCGTGTTAGAGAGGAGTGAATAGAGACGAATGGTTTTTCTGACCTGACGAGCTGTTGGAGTGTGAGCAGGGTAATATTTTGTGAAGGGACTCAAGTCCGGCTAACCGGACTTGAGTCCTGGAGGTAGGAAGTACAACGCCTGCACTTTAAAGGAGGGGTTTGGGATATTGGCTGTTTGGAGTGATATCTAAAGTGTCGTAGCTAAGCGCCTCTGCAAAGACAGTGATTGTGTGAATGATGGTGAAAGTGTTGAACGATGATGTTGAAAGTGTTGAACGATGATGGTGAAAGTGTTGAACGATGATGGTGAAAATGTTGAACGATGATGGTGAAAGTGTTGAACGATGATGGTGAAAGTGTTGAACGATGATGAAAGCCTTTTTTTCTTTCTTTTTGGGTCACCCCGCCTCGGTGGGAAACGGCCGACATAAAAAAAAATTAGTATTTTCCATAATATGTCGTTTTTCGCAGTAAATGGTAGGTTATAATTAATTCAGCAGGAATAACTAATGTTTTTAATGCTAATTACTTGAGTGGCTGTTAGTAATATATTCCGTAGACATTCATATATAACCCGACTCCCACAAATTATAAACCCATTCTAAATAACCTCCAGATAACTCCCATTCACATCCAGCTTCCTCCAGTTAACTCTCATGCACTTCCAAGAGCCCTAATACACACAGTTTACTCTGCCTACGATTCCCATCCAACTCCAGACCATACCACTCACAAACCATTAAATTAACTCACCTTTACAGTATTAGTATCGATGTTCATATTGAAAAAGTGCATGGTAATGTTAGAAGTGGGTTCCAGGACTTCCACTTCCACTTCCATATACCCGTGGATGGTCTGATTTCCGTTGATGAAGGGCTGAATTTTGATGGTATAGTGAAGAGGCTTCAGGGTTTTCGGTAAAAACAAGTCTTGCTTATTTTGATGTGCTGGATCTGATGACAGCACGACCACCTTGACTCCCTCCGAGGTTGTAGTGGCTTCAGTAGCATTTGGTTGCTGTGACGGTAGTGTGTTTGATATAGTTATTATTGTGGTTGGAGTTGTATTTGGTGATTGCAAGTGTGGTGCATCTGTTGTTGTTGTTGTTGTGGTAGTATTTGGTTTCATTACTAGCATGTCTGATGTTAATGTTGTGTTTATAGTGGCATTTGGTGGTTGCAATGGCGGTGTGTTTGTTGCAATTGTTGCTGTTGTTGTTGAGGTAGCATTTGATAGTTGCAATTGTGATGTTTTTGCCCTACCTGATTTCGAAACTGTGGGACATTTAATGGTTGTGGTTTAGGTATGTTTGTTGTAGCTACTGCTGCCGTTATATCAGTGGATGATTCTGAAGGCGTAGTTGCTGGAATGGTTGAAGTTACTATAGTTTCTGAAGTACCAACAGGAGAGGTTGTCAGTCGGCCAGAGCTCTCCACCGACCCTAACTGAAAATGGTTTATTCTATAGCACATTATTAGCGTGGAGAAGATGTTGAGAAGAGAGTCGATGGAAATGCGAAGTAAACTAATTGAGAGTAAAAGGAAGGACTGTAAGCGGCAGAACCCCAACCGACTAAATGAAAATGGTTTAACAAAGAATCATTCTTTCGATGGATTGTACAGAATAACAAACTTGAAAACACGTTGTTAAGTCTATGAAATAAAGTAACGAAGTTACCATATATCGCTCAGGAGGAGAATTGAATTAAGAAGAGAAACGGAGCTATTCTATGGTATTTGTACAATAACAAAGTAAAACACTGTTCAGTCTAGAAAAAAGCACAAGCTTACATACTCGTCGGCTCCGTAGGAATGTGAGTTGTTTAAGACTACGAATTGGTAGACCAGCTCCACCTACTGCAAAAGTATCAATTTTTTTTGGGCAATCAAAGAGATCAAGTGTTTCTCATTAAATTTCTCTATAGAGTATCTCTTGACAACTGTTCGTAGACCAAGGCCAGAACTAAACTTCACTTTAATTAATATTTTGGGCTTAACAATGTTAGCGAAGGTGTAATTTTTTTTATTAAATTTTAATTAATAAGTAATCTTTTAACAACTGTTAGCCGGAAAGGTGAGTAAGCAGAAAATACTTCACAAACCCTGTCAACTCTTAGTGACAAATAAACGCTGTGGATTTTTTGGGTGTTTAATTACATTGCCAAACATATTTCTAGGAACATGGAGAAGCACACTGATAATTATAGAATGTTAATAAACATATTCAAGTGAATGTACACTTTTTGTGAACAGTTAACAACATATATGTATAACTCAACCCTGCAGCTATAACTGCGTATTTCAATTCTGAACAAACTCTGATGAATAAACAAATTCTCTGACCAGAGACCAACGCTGGTAAACCAGCGTTAAGTAGCTACCCTGGCCACTGACTCGCTGTCATCTTGAAAAAGACTTAAATTGTAAACAATAGTACATTTTTTTTGTCTTTACAACACCCTGTAGATATCACCACATACCATTTTTAGCACACAGCACACACTGTCTTGCCACACACCCGCCACAGGGTAGGTATCACTAAACGGGTCATTTTATAACAAAGACTCGTGCAATTGTTTATGGTTGACGAATAAACTAACAAGATTTTAATGAACCCACTAGTGAACACACATAATGATGATCCAGTAGTAAACAAACACCCCGGTGAACACACATTGGTAATGAGAGAAGAAAAAACTTCGTTGAGTGGAGACAGAATGGCTAGGAAACAAATTACATGAGATACGTTCTGGGAAAGATGAATTAGAAAATGCAAAGGCTCTGAACAGAAAGAGAGAGGGAAAATCGTAGATTTCATGAAAACAAGAGAGACGAAGAGAAGAAAAATATAGGAGACGGCAATGAAGACTGTTGCAAATGAACCCACATTATGAAGAGAGAGAGAGGGAGAAATCTGCGATTTTTTTTTACTGCCAGAGAAGAAACACAAGATAAAAAAAATAATGAAAGGAAATCAAAGGATGATAAAACTTGATTTAGCAGCTGGAGCATCCTTCGAGGGATTTACCGTGACAAAGATGAAATGATCTCGAAGCAAGAACTTAAAATATACTCACCTTCTTTGATTTTAGTTTTATTGCCTTCCATTACATTAAGCACTGTGTGACCCATGTCGGTTTAATGCTTCACGTAAATACAAAGATAACAGCTGGAGAAACAGATAAAAAAAATAAAATAGGCAGAAAATTTGATCCAGGTGGAACTGTACAACAGGTAACAATAACCTCCAGTGTCATTCATTTTCTATTTCTGAAATGCAGCAGTTACGGATAAGGTACAAAACGTTAAATAAAACCTCGAGTGATCAAACAGTAATAACAGAATATTTCTACATATGAATCATACATACATGAAAAGAAAAGCAGCAAAACTGAAGTGAGAAGAGCAGAAAATGCAAAGGCAATTAAGAGTAGAAGGGTGAAAAACTGTTCACAGAGGTGACCGAGAGTAGCATGTACTGAACCTCTCACTTTGTCACAATATTACCCAACCTCTCCCAACATTACCTTTCATCCCCCACAACATTACCTTCCATCCCCACTTCTCCCAACCCCATAACATTACCTTCCCTCTCCACATCTCCCTCCTCCACAGCAATACCTTTCCTACCCACCTCTCCCAACCCCACAACACTAACTTACCTCTCCACTTCTACCTCCACTTTAAAACTTCATGACTCCCTTCCTATCTTCAGGTATAGGAAAGTTAGAAATAGCAGCAACTTTTGCTTCATTAGGAGCAACCTCACCTTAACCAACCAAAAACACAAAAGATGTTTAATTGAGCTTATTCAAAACATACTTTGTTGGAATGAGCGTGAAGCTGTATTAAGCAAACCTCTCAGCGCTCTGAGACGCATCAGAGCATTGAGAAGCAGGCTTCTACACCTTCAAGTTCTGTGTTAACTCGTGCATAATTCTTTGGAACGAAGAGGCTGCAGTCTATCCTAGATAGTAAATACAGAGATTTCCTGAGCACGAGCAGTAAGATTGACATGACATACAGGCTTCTGACACACACGAGGCGTGGCGGTAGAGTGTACTGGATCACAAGACTCCAAGAATCTTAGTGTTTTTAGGGCGTGCTGCTAGCAGCAACCAGCGGTAGTGACAACATCAGTGAGCAACCCTACAAGTGATAACCAAAGTTATTAGTTAAAAAAAAGGCAAGAGGAAGCCTGAAATTATCCAAAAAAATTTGAAAGTGCCAAATCGTTGGAGGCCTAGTAGTCACCTGTTGCCACACAGTTACAAATGTACAAAGTACAAAGCGAGTGGCAAAAGACAGAAAGTCAAAAATTAAGAGAGGTTGGTTAATGAGTGAACTGTGAGGTAGCATACAACGAGTGTGAAAAAGTTAACGTGAAAAGGAAGAACAAAAAATATATATAACCAGAGAAGGTGGCAGGCAGTAGACCTCCAGGAAGTGGTGCCGCCATAGCAGGTTGTGTGTAATTACAAATAAGAAGTGTAACTTACCAAAAATGAAGTGTAATTTACTAAAAGTAGCAATATACAAGTGCTAAGTATGGTAAATAAGAACTCATGCGGGTAATGAGAATAGAATAATTGAAGAGAAGGACAGAGGTGATAAGGCAAGGAGCAGGAGTCATCGTACAGTGAGCATTGGGATGGACGACACCTCTGAGGTGTAATGTACAGATCACCTATGTTTGTGGTAAAAGAGGAAGTTGAGTAGTGGAGCCGGACCTGCAATCAATGGTAGCTGGCTGTCACAAACCCTGCTCCGGAGTGATTATCATACAGTACGTAGCTTTTAGCAGGCAGATAAAATTGGAAGGAGCAAGGAATAGATGACCTTGGTAGGAGGAGTGTGCACGCAGGAGTAAGTGCAGGCAGGCCATTAGGACTACAGACTGACACCAATTTTAAAAGATAAGATTTAAGCACATAAAGACAGTGTAATAGGCGAACCAAGTTATTGGGTACACAGGTAGTACAAATGTAGTACATATGTGGACATACGAAGGACTCATGAACACACACACACACACAGATCCACTGTCAGAAAGTTAAACGCCTGTTAAAGACTTAAAAGACTTAAAATTGATTGAATTTTTTTCAACAAACAACTTTCCTAGCTCTAGTCATCACGATTGAGTGTCAGTCTGAGATGAATCAGTTGGGAAATTGTAACTACTGAACCACTGCGCGTGACTTTCTAGAGTGAATGGACACAGGTACCACACGTAAGATCCTGCCTTAAATGTTTCACTAGAGTGAAAGAGTATTCTTCTTTTCTTACAATAAATTCATTGAACATTTGTTAGATTAATTCTGTATTGCAGCAGAGACAGATTTTGAAGTATTAACTTCAGCAACTAACTGAGCGACAGGTGAGTTTTAAAGTAGATTACATTTGATTATATTTTACATAGATTATATTTTTTATGTAGATTATATTTGGCTGGTGCCCACTGTTGCTACCCGCCAACTCTAACCAGACTTGTTTTTACATTTTTTACCTATTTGAGTAAATTAATAATTATCTGCTAGAGCCGGTGTTTCTACGATATCTGAATTAGTATTATCTCTGAAAATTTTCTGAAAATCACGAGGTATACGACTATAAAATTCCTCTTGAAGGAACAGCTGGAATAAAATGCCATAAATTTCTGAGTCTGATGATCTGCCGCAACGCTGCAGGTAATATACTTCTGATCTGGCTTCCGCTGCTTGCTACGAAATGTTCGCTGATAACTCACATGAATAAATTATAAATTTCTTGCATAGCTTCTTCATAGTCTCATAAACTACATTTTGTGCAAAAGGCAAAGCTGCTGTGCAACTCTGTCCTCTAGCCTGTCCATACAGAGTGTAATAAGGCTACAGAATGATTGTAAGGGCAGTAGAGAGCATGAGCTAGATATTCGAAAATATCAAATTACGTATCTAAATCAATCTCAGTGAAGTAGCAAACAATGCTGAAGCTGTTTTTCTAATGCTAATTTCTTGCTTTGGAGGCTGACGAGTAGCAGACTGGTCACTGAAAGTACATCATCTCACATCATCAGCTTTACATGACGTTCCATCACAACATCCCCTCAAGGAAGGTTCCTTGATGTTGGTGAGGGGCTCTTGATTTAGGGAATTGGATCTGTGCTCCAGTTCCCCGAATTAAGCCTGAATGCCTTCCACATCCCCCCCCCCAGGCGCTGTATAATCCTCTGGGTTTAGCGCTTCCCCCTTGATTATAATAATAATAATCCATCATAACATACTGAGTAAGAGAGTGAATAAATCGAGTAGGGACTTTAACATGTCTATCAGGACCTTTCTTTCTTTTAGATCGCGTTACTATTCATGACATTTCTTGAGGATCTGGGAAATTCTTGGAAATGTATACTGAAGAGAAGTAAATGGGGTACTAGTATGAGTCGGCGTCATACTCATTCTTCCA